AAACTTGGTCTCATTTTTTTTACTTTCGATTGTCGAGTGCACAGGTCTGGCTGTCCCATAGATGCTAAAATGTCAATAGCACATGGTGGCATAATATCGGGTAGGGCCACGGCAAACAGCTGTCAAACGTAAACCTCACCCGATTAGGTAAATGGAATCATGTATGAGTGTTGAATCCAACTGCTGTGGTTCACCTGGCCTTTTAAATTCGTGCAAAGGAGTGACTAGTTTGATATGATTAGGAGAGGAATAAGGTATAATATATATTGACGAAACACAATTGTATATTTAGAAGTGCTAGAACATTACATTAATCCGGAAGTTTTCCTGCATTGGCAGCATAGTGTCTAAAGTCATAGCTGCATTCCTGAAAACTTATTTAATTTTCAAACTTCACATCAAGATTAGTTATTACATGAAATTATTCATTTGAGACGACCCTCTCTCCTTTCGGGTAACAATGCTCATTGTAAAATTGAGAAATTGAGTCGAGAGAAGAGTAATTTTCACCAATTAACAATCGTGCTGTTGCATGAGAACTAACGGTCAGAACGATTTGCATACCCTGAATTGTCGACTTAAACATTTATGCGGCAAACTGACTTTTCCAGGTATTGCAATTTCCCTGAAACAGTGCGAGCAATTCGACAGTGCATCGGAACAAAATTATGATAGTTGATATATCGTTCTGTCCAAGTGGTCTTCTTGTACACGTTTCAGCTAAGAGAGCCATCTTCCCGGCGTGACAGGTGAATGTCATGAAACGCCATTTATGGAGCAGATTTCATTGCTAGCGTGAAAGTTATATTATAATGAGCCCGATTTAAACTGTTCAAAAACGTTAAGGGATTTTTGAACTGTCTATAACACAAATGATATCATCAACATAACGCCTGTACAGGACACGCTGTTCATTACAGTTCGACAATGTCTTATTCTCTAGCTTTGCCACGAACATATTCGTCAATAGGGGACCTAAAGATGAGCCTATGAAAATTCCATCTTTTGAACCCAACAAGCAACTGTTGAACTGAAATCTAACATTGAAAGTGCATTGCAGAGGACGTTTCCTTAGTTATTTCTCAGTGGAGTTGAGCATATTCTACTCGTCATAACAACTCCCATGGCAGATGAAGGGTAGGCTGTCAATGGAGATGACCTCCTCTTGTGCCTATCAGGTTGTTTGCTCCTGTGTGTAAGTTACTTGGGTCACAGCACCAGACGCCTGCCCGATCGAATGAGAGAAAACCACCCAGCATAGCTCAATCAGGGACCGTTAAGGGGAGGTGCGAGTACGGTTGCTACACATCTGTCCGAGATGGATCAAACTGTGGATGTGTGGAAATCGTTCCGTTCAATCTATTTGATGATGGGGATCCCGACTGCTACAACAGAGGCGGTAGCGATTAGAATAAACAACCCCATGGCCGTGTGTCCGAGGTGTCCCCACCCAACATTTCATTCGACTATTCACACTCCACAAGGGATTATCATCAATTATGCGGTCAACTAACCCCTCAGATCTCATTTTGCACGTACTAAATATCCGATTTGACAGTCTCACAATGTTGTTTCCCTGAGTTATTGGACATTGAAAGAACACTGAAAGCAAACTTTTCCGCCAAAACTCTACTTTTCTAATGAATCTAATAGGAGTGTTTAATCATGTTTGAATAACGCAATTGGTGATACAATATTCCAAAGCATTAAACTCTATTGTTTCTCCCTGCAAATGCATATTGTTTAAAAATACCAACCGGGTGACTACAAGTCAAACAGAAAAGCACCTCAATTATCAAAATTCATGTTGGCTCGAATTCTTAGTATCATCGTTTTGCTCTTTGAGCATGACACATATGAGCTGATCATTTTACCTGTATATTGTCCACTTGGATATTTTCAGGTGTCGGAAAAGTGCATCCGACAGGCCAGTCATTGTTCTTTGTACTACTTTTATACACTTTCTACTGCCAATAGTAGCTGTTTATTTTCGCAATGAATACTTTATGAGAAACAAGTATTTTTCGGTCAAAGTTGTTCAGTTACACAGGAAGACAACGTCCAAAAGGTGAATCATTGATTGATTTGCTTTTAATGTATTATGTTATTAAGGTGAGCTGACCGGTCGGCATCGCTGTCTGACCTTGTATGCTTTCGACCGATGAGGGTTATTGGATTAAATTGTCAGGAAAGACGTTTTCCTATTGTGTTTTGTCCCACAGACTATGATTGTGCATCATCTACCAAGTTGGTCTTGATAGACTTACCCAACAGAACACAATCAAACGTGTGTGTGTGTGTGTGTGTGTGTGTGTGTGTGTGTGTGTGTAAGTGGCCACATTTTCCTCGAATCTAATCAAGACTGTTTTACGTGGTGCATGTAACAGACAATAAATCCTCGAATTTCATATTGAGGATTCATTCCATGGGGAGCGATTTGAATGCACCGCATGCAGGCTGCCTGACCGATAACTAAAAGGTGCTCTGGGAATAACCCGTCCGAGTGATCCTCATACAATGTGCATTCAACCTGAAAAACCGGAACGTTGAGCGCGGCAAGAGTGCGAGTATAAGCCTCAACCTAACTTTGTTACGATAAACCGTATCGGTCATTTCACAGTGAAGGCAAATATTGTCAATAGGTAACGCCTATTGATTTCATTATCGATACAAAAGATGGATACAGGTGACCTAATTCTTTTACAAGCAGATTAGACGAAACAGATTTGATAATACATTTATACTAACAATGAAATCTGTTCGTATTCAGTCACTTGAGTTTGCCTCGGTCCAAATAAAGTCAAGTCAATCAATCCCTTTATGCACCGCGAAAGGTGAATATTTCCCCGTCACATAACCACATGCATCAAAAATGAACCATGTATTACAAAAATACTAACGGGTCAACAATACGTTTTTAGCGCAGAGTTCTCCTACCTGTATTTCGGACATTGTATTCAGTAGAAGACGAGGCTGATACAGCAGTCGAGCTATCAAAAGCAGAAATCATAGGCGGCATAATCTGGTGGAGCCTGATCGAGCATCATCAGACCAGAGCTTCCCTCACATTTTTCATTTGAACTGTTGACTCCATGGAAAAACACTGAATGGTCGAAATACTTTTAGTGCATCTTACTTCACCGGATTTTATGCCAGCACGGTGAATGACAATCATGAAACTCGGTCAGCCTTGCCCCATCATGTTCAATGCATGTAGTCGTTATTGTTAAGTTTACTTAAGACAAATCAATTCTTTTCGTGAATATGGTGCTGCTGACTGAGTGATAATAATAATAATAATAATAATAATAGCCATGTGGTGATCAAGTGCAGTGAACTTTATTGTTCAGAACTGAGAAATACTGCTCAAGTGGCCGTACAATGAGATATCGGATCGCTTCAATTTTCACTTTCTAAATATCCTAGACCGCCACCGGTGGATGACAATGAAAGTTCTTTGTTCTCGTGAACTTGCCACACCTAAAAGCCTATACAATTTTCAGGATGGGTCGACTTTAAGTCAAGAATGAGTTGATCAGGGATCCTGATACTTTGATACAACACCCGAATTCTACGGATGGAAGCTGTATTTGTTTTGATTTTGCTTGAAAACCATAAAGTTATGCCGATCAACGGGATAGTCAAAGTTAGAATCCGTGTATGCGTTTAGCACAGTGGTGGAACAAATCAGAATCCCACGCAAAGCTTCATGACCGTGATGAATTGCTTTGGAAAAGAAGTGCAGAAAAATTATTGGGCAAAAGAATTTCATGTGACTTGTCGTATCTCATTAAAAGTTCTAATGAAATGAGAATAATTCCTCCCGGGGCTAATCAAACCTTCACGTCACGTTTCAGCTGTAACTTACCGCCTATTCGGAGGTTCTCATTGAACTGCAGTGTTACACGATACGCAGTTCGGCGCTGATCAAGTTACCACCACATGATATGCATATTTTTTACCCACCATTTTATAGCCCACAGTTGATCAACTGAGCCTTATTGATGTGAAAAAGCTGCACAGTTCTGGGAGACGGTGAAAACCAGCTCCAGATACTTACAGCAGTTTGTGGAAAGTTCTATATTTGGCAATTCTTGTGGGTACCCATTGCTCTAGGCAGTCTTCTCACAGACGTAAAGGGTGATTTACAATCAAGAAACAATGGTGGGCTGAATGCGGATGCACTGAACCATGGAGAGCAAGTGGAAATTACGATTTTGATAATTGTTAGACGCAATAAAGTGGCTTCCGAACAAACATAGATACCCAAATAGTTCACTAGAAATGTTCCATAGAGGTGCTAACGGCATAGCATAGAAATAGGAATATCCGAATAACTCGCTCATGTATTGCGTTCTATCACTTGTTAACAACTGGAACTGTTTATCTTCAAAAATGTGCCGTTGCACTGAACAAAGTAAACCACCGTTCGATTTTCCAATGAATGCCGTTTTCAAATAGATTCCTTTAGTATGTTGATATTTGGTTTCACATACTTCAGTTTCAAATAGCCTCCAGCAGTATGGATAGAAAAGTAGAAAAGTAGGGTGGTATATTAGAATGAATACAACAGGAAAAAGGATTTACTCATTCTCTCTGACCTTGAAATACCGATACAACTGATAGTCCAAAGTACTATCCACATCGCCACCCCCAAGCCATAGTCTATGTACAGTCGCATGTGAAAAATGAACTGTGTTCTACAGAGTGTGATGAATTCCACATTTTCGGCCATCCAGACGATGTGTGTATGTGCACTGAACTGCAGTGGGAACACGTGATTTGGTTCGACAAATTATCTGTTTATTCGCGCCCACACAAACACCTCACACAGCATCAAAACATTTCGCATGAGCGGCTTCGCGGCCTGTGTGTGTGTGTGTGTGTGTGCATGCTGTGGGTTGTGTTGCAGTACAGTTTCGATCGTGTAAGATGCAAGTGTATATATGTATATTCGTGACTTCTCGGATTCCGTAGTCTATCTACCACCAGATAAGACAATGATTCGATTCCATCTCATCGCTCTCTCGCTTATCTTAACTCATTTATTCCGAACGGAACAAAACCTTTTGGGATCAAAACATCGACTGACGCGCGATGAAATACACTCGGAGGAATTCGCGCAAATTCTGTCCAGTGCGGTTCAGGATTGTAATCGAGAACATTCATCGGATTTCTGGCACAGACAAGAGACAGTGTCTGATGCCACGAAACAGGTAAATCCCGTCTCGATTTTGTCAATCTGGCCACCTGGTTAGCTTGTGCAAGGCACAAATTACGAATTCACTGTTCGCCTCAGAGAAACCAGCTGTTTGAAAAAGCCCATCATTAATGGAGAGAAAAAGGAGAGCGACGATGATTGTCTGGTCAAACATAACTCGGTAAGTCAGTTTGTGTACCAATTTTTCATTGCATGTGTCTGCGTAAAACGACTGGTTTTGACCGTTCTGTGTTTTTGCTGCAGGCCACAACAAAACAGATTTTTCCCCGATTTCCTTTGTTGATTGAAATACTGGTTTACTCATTGCATATTCTTTAAAATTTGACTATCCAATGAAGCTGGGCGTTTATGCCCACAGAGTTTTAAAATATTCTGCTCTTCTATTCGCTACTGATAAAGGTTATGCCGTTTGTTACGCAGATGCGCGTGGGGTTAAACGTTTGAACTGATTATTTTAGAGGTATTTAAACCATTCGGTAGTAAAATTTATTTATTTTGTCTTCCAAAAGATTCAGGCAAACTGTAGGTTTGTTCGATTATTGAGTGGCTAGAAAAATGAAATCATATATTTGAGTTATCGATTGATGAAGTGGAGTTTCCGGAAAGTGTTCCGACGTTCGTGAATATTAATAACTAATGCGATTTTGATGTTTTGCATCCGAAATCAGTAAACTCATACAGTCTCATAATTAATAACTAATTAGTTATGTACCGGCTCAGATCAACCTGATGTTCGGATGTTAAATTGGCCACGTTTGTCTGCAGCAAACAACGAGCATTTGTGATCAGTCTTTGTGTTTGTTTAACACTCTAATGAAAGAACAGTAAAACATTTATCGTCTAGTGCGTACACTACAGAACAATAACACTGAAAGTTGGCGATCTTATTCCATTTAATCACAAATTGAAGACTAAAATAGTAGGGAGAGAAAACTTCAGACGTTAAAGCAGCTATGATCGTGTTTAATCTATGGCAATACACATTTATTCGGTTGTGTGCATTTACCTTTTCACATGGGCTTCATTCTTTGAGAGGTTTTGAAGATTTGCCACTTGTTTGTGCAGAAAATGTCGGCTCCATTGAGCAGTTTGAGGGACAGCGGTATTGGTCTATAGACCAAAGGCTTTCATTTGAGGTCCCTGAATGGAATACACACCGTACGCTTCACTGAGTTGCCTGGGCTAAACTGCTGTCCAATGCTCTTCGTCATCGAAAAACCTCTTGGCCATAAAATAACTTCAGCAGCTCGTTGATAGGATACGAATGAGGATCAGTGTCGAATGAGGGCACCATCACCTCTTACTCAGATGCTAAAAGTCGATAATACGTAGTATTCGTGTGAGAACCTCAGTTCGAAATGGTTAGAATAACTCCAAGATGAAGGTGAAATGGTGGACTAAACAGTCGAACTCCGATGTTTTTACGCCTAACTGTCAGTGTTGTGAGTTCAAGTACGTGAAAATGTTGACTGGAAACTCTAGTCAATGTATTTTGTACGTAAAATTTACCGGGGAAGTTAGGCTGCTCTAATGCTGTTTTATCTGTAAAATCCGATTTTGCCTGTTTATCCAAGTACGTGCATACTTTGTATTTGGCGGTTTTATTTACATAACAAAAGTTTGTAATCTAAATGATATCCATCACTTGTGGTTTATTTCATAGGTTAAATACTATTGCTCAAGCACAACTATGCATCGTTTTTTTACAGTTCAGTACCAGACGACAACAAATGCCTTATTGATACAATTTTTGATCTGCATTTTATGTATCGAGTTATGACGTGCATTCTCATCTAACCTGTACGTTTTGGCTCCGATCTATTCCAACATCCAATTACCTGTAGCCTCTCATTATTTGCTCCACCGCGGTCTGGTTTCGTCCGTGGTTAAAAGAGAAGATACAAGTGACTGTTCGCGGACACTGGAAAGTCACCTCTGAGAAATTCTCCCTCCAAGAAATTCACTCCGCGATTGCAGAACAGTCAGATTTGGCCCAGAAATTTGCAGAAACCATGCAAAAAGCTGTAGAGGATTACAATTTACAGAAGAAACCCCCGTTTCTGGTTAGATATGCCGGTTTGGGGGGAAGATTCCGACAGGTACGTTCTGATCGACCTCAATTTGGTTGCCTATTTTAGATGGAAGAGCCTCGTATGCTGGCGAATGAGGTTTCATTGAAAGCCACAAGTTGCAAGACGCCCACAGATAGAAATCAGTTTGAGCAACTTCAGTCGGATGAATGTTACAATACCACTGGTCAAGTAAGAACTGAAATAACTTTGTATTTGATTATTATTAATATTTTACAGTTTGTAAAGTGTCCAATAATCTTTCAAAGTTTTCCTCCAGGGTACTCAAATAATTTTCTAGGAAACTTCTAAATTTGCTAAAGGCTCAAAATTTCCAGCAATTGATGAGATTGTTTTGCGTTTTGACCTTATCATTCAGGGGCAAAATCAAAGTGACTGTTGAGGCTATTCAATATTTATAATAAACTTTGGAATCTTTAAATTCGTTATTGCGTTCCGCTATAAAGTAACCAATCACTCTCTTCTCTGAACATATCTCTGATTACACCATGAAGGTCGGAGATATTGATTCCCGAAGTTGTACTCAAAAGATTTGGTTTCATTGGGAATATCTGTTTGGAATCTCGGAAAGCTGGTAGTGATTTTTTCAATGAAAACATTGCCCAAGAATTTTTCTATACAAATACACAGTTTGCATGGGGATGATGGTTCGTGGGGACAAAGAGAGAGCATTGTCTGCATAGAATAAAGATGTATCATTGAGCTTCTCCGGTTGCGGCTGGTCACTGCTCCGCTGCACCTGAAAAAACGCTCCTGTAAAACTCAAATCATCATCATCATCATCATCCTACAGCGAAATACAGTGAAGCGAGCTTCACTGACCGCTGCTAAACTCGCAATGCATACAAGGTTAGTGGTAAAGTTTAAGGTGAACAGGGACTGGATCTATTTTGAGGGGGGGAGAAGATGAACAACTATGGTCAACATACAGAATACGCAATCGAACTCTGCATACATACCGTTTCAAGCATCGTGGCCTTATAAGAAACGACAACAAGAACGCCACTGCTGTCGGTTCGCTGCCATATCCTTCAATGTCTCCAACCAACCAGTCTCTCGGACCCCAACCTGGAAGGCGAGAGACACCTACCCTACCTAATGGCTCTGTGCATTTCTTCATGCTTCGTCTCCATGTCAACTGTTGAACTCCACGTGGTTTCCTCCAGCCCGGATTAGCTACAGCGAATAAAGCGCGGTGCGGCAGACGATGGCTGGTCATACGCAATACCTGCGCTAGCCACCGAAGCCTAGTAATCTGAATTCGGTATGCTAGCAGGTTTATGCCTGACAGATTGCCAAACACACGGCGGCTTACCTCCACGTTACTAGCCCGTTCACTCCATCCAACATGGGCTCAACTGCGTAAACATCGATAATCGAAAACCTCTGGTCGATGGATATCTTCTACTAGCAAATTCAGGGTCTCACAACCATAAGCAGGACTGAACGAACGCAAGCACAATATACATAACCTTTCAACTTCAGTGAAACGTTGCGTCTACGCCAAAGGTGTTTCAGTCCTGCATACGCCGCTCGAGCCTTGGAAATGCGGGCGGTTACCTCCTTCACTGCGCTACCGTCATTGGTCACGCAACTACCAAAGTAGGAAAAGCAATCTAACGTAACTAATTCCTGACCATTAGGTTAATAGCGGGCGTAGGCGATACCCAGTCCTGCAGCATTACTTTGCACTTTGAAGGTGTAAAGCACATACCGAATGTGCCAACAGCACTTGATAGTCTATTCAGTGCGTTTAGCGCGTCTTCCATACATTCGAACAGACAGACGATGTAGTCGGCGTACTCCAAATCGCAAAGCTTTTCTCCAACTGTCCATTCAAAACCTACGTTTTGGAGTCCCCTTAGTGCCCTCTTCAGTATTTGGTCTACGACAAAATTGAACAGAAACGGCAAAAGAAGACGAACGCCGCTGCTGGTGACGAACAGCCTACTTAGTTCATTGTAGACCCTTATACGAGTTGTTTCAGTTTGCAGTTGTTACAACCATTGAACATGCACTTTCATGCGTCGCTTTTGGTTGCCCATTTGAATAAAAGGGCGAAATGAAGATTGGAATGTCGAAGCGAATTCAAACGGACGATGGGGAATTCATATAGAGTGGTGTTAGGAAAATAACGAGTGGAAGCACGAGCGCCACTGTTTGCGACACCCAGCCATATCACTCAGTGTAGCTA